ATCAATTGGTGGTACAGTTTCAAAAATCCGTCGAAGTATGGACAAAGTTTACAAATTTTAGTCTTAACTGCATCATACATTTATATGTCCTCAATAGGAAGTGTTTTCTAGAATAACGTTTTCATTGATGTGTATTTATTCTTCTTTCTTAATCGCTGCATAAGTCTTGCTACCAAATATAATTTGAATTTCTCGTGCTCTTCCATAAAATGGATCAGCAAGGTTCACATTTTCAGGGATTTTCGTTTCTATAGTGAAGTTTTAGCTGGCAAATTGTTTAAAGTTATGCTTAATAATCTTTTTTCTTCATTGTATGCTTCAGCTCTAATTTGATTTTTTAAAATTGTTGCATTCCTGTTAATGCTGTCATATAAGTCATAAAATTATAGCTTGTTCCTGAATCAATCAAATCTCTGATTTATATCTTATTGTAATTTGATGGCAATGGCAATGCTTTTCTCCAGCATCCACAGAGATATTCAACTTTTTTGCGTATTTTGACGACTTATTTTAAGCTTGATGGTTTCTCACGTTTAGCAATCTCAGTTCTAGGACATCTCTCATCTGGTTTGCATGTATTACTTCAGAAATTCTTGGAATAGTTTTTTGATCGAATTTTAATTCATTGTTAATGAAAAGGCTCATTTGCTCATTTTGTGATACTTGTTCTGAATTATTCTTATTAATTTAAATTCATATTTATGTAAATTTGTTCATATGCGATGATAAGTTCTTCATCACCTTATCTATCTAATTCGCTCCATTTTATGTCATTTTAAATCGAAAATTTTGATAGATTTTCTGATAGTCATTTTATCAATTTTTAAGGCTGCAGGAATCTATCCTTAACAGCTGCGATTGCTGTAATTTAAAATTCACTTATTTAAGTCGTTCAACAGATTTTTTGTTCCCCAGTCAAAAGTTTTCCTTTGTGTTCACACAGCTCAATCCTTCAGAATTTTTCCAGTTGCTGTAAATGTGATATTGACAGTTGTGTTGACGAAGAATCATTTTCGCTGAACTCGTGTCATTTCTAATTTCCTGAATTCTGCTTCTAAAAGATGATAACTGCGCGAATCGCGTCAAGTTCATGCTCGTTTTCAAATTATCTTGCTATGGACAAGTGTAATACGAATTTAGCCCTTGAACTAGTTCAATCATCTCCAATACAGAAATCCTTGCTTGACAATCCACAACATTCAATTTAAATATCACATTTTGACCAATTACGATGATTCTTCCAAAATGCTGGCAATCTGTCATGTGTTAAACAGTCATCTAATATGTTGTTCAGTTCCAAATTAGGTTAAACTTCATATTCGAATCCTCAACTTCACTTCCAAAATTTATTAGCAAATTTATTGCAATATTGCACATTTGTCAATTTCAATGCCAAAGAAAACTTTTCAATGTCGTCTGCAGATGCTTCAAATCTCAAAACCACATTTGTTTGAAAATTTTTTAAAGTGTTTTGGGTGCTGGTTTAATACTGAAACTTGTGTTTTGTATGGTGACCAACTTTAAAATACCAAAATTATAAATCATTAGAATTAGGTGAACGAAGCTCACAAATATTAGGGCCCTGAATATGACAAGTGGAAAATGTGATAATTTTTCAAGCCATTTAAAGAAAGTGAGCATTGGTGAAGAACTTTAAGGAGTCGGACGAATCAAAAAAGATTCAGAAATCAGTGGATAAATGATTGAGATAAAAAAAATCCTTACTTTATGCCTTTCCATGTTCAATAGAGCGGTGAGTTCGCTAAGCTCGGGCTTCAAGCTTATGTAGAATTTTGTGTTTTTTAACATGTAAGTTACGATGTTAACAGTCCATACTTGAAGAAACAATAGGATTTCTTGCTTAGTTTCATCTCTCAAAATAATCCAGCAATGCATTGAATTTGCGACTTAACGACACATGATTCCTGTAAAAAATATAAAATATAAAAAAATATTGAAATTGAAGAAGAATTGTGGAAAAAACAGAAATCAATAATTAAAGAAAGTAAAAGACTTGTAAATTCTAACCTATAAAGTTTAGTCAAACCAAAAAGAAAGATTTATGGAAAGATTTATGATGAATACTAATAAAGTATTAGAAAGTGCTCAAAGAGACAAACTGCTTGAATATGTTATGAAAAGTAAAGAGAGAACAACAGTAATGAACGACTAATCGATACTATAAATCTAATTCAGTCTGGTTGTTTCATGAGGAGATACATAGAAAAGTTGATGCTAATAATATCATTTAGTCATTGATTGTTGATTGATCTTGTCATGTGACTTAAACTTTTATAGAATTTGAAGTCTGTGGCAAGCTTGCTGTGGGAGTATTGTGCAACGAGCAACTCAATTGGAGAAAGGTGGTAAGAAGTGAGATACGAGGTCGTATAAATTGCTGATTTTTAAGATAAATGATATGTTCTAAGTTTAAGAGGAAAGGTTGTAGACTAAATTGCAAGAAGTTTGTGATACTTAATATAATTGGAACAAGTGTAGTTTAGTGAGGACAAATCTGTTGCAACAATAGAACTGCATAATAAAGAAAGTTTAATGGAACCGATTGAATTCGGGAGATAATGTTAATTTAAAGTTTAATTGATTTGAAAAGTTTTAATTCAAACTGATAAAAAAATTAACACATCGCTGAGACAGAAGATTAATTTAATGATTAAGTTTATAGTATGCATAAAGATAGAATGTGGTAATTGACAAACTATTCAGCGATATATTCGTTTGAAAATCAAATTGTCGATTTGCACCAAATTAGAGAAACATTAAATACCAAAGACTTACTATTAGCTTGATTATTTGCTTCCATGTAAAGTATTCGTTGCTTCGCTCGAAAAATACTGAATTGCTTCGAGAATAAAGAATCTATATTCCAATTCCAGTGTTCAGTTCATAAACTGTGCCTTAATTTCAATCGTACATCCGTGAGAAAATCTCGTAAGCTTTCGGCTTGAAAACTAAAAAGAATAATTATGAGGCCGTTCACTTATTACGTTACGCCAAAAAACGACCCCCCCCCCCCCCCCCCCCCCCAAACCGAAACGAAAGTAACCAAAGTAAAATAATTTTCAAAAGAAAATTTTCACCAGGTTACATCACAAAATCCCATGTCAAAACAAAGAGCTTTTAAAGTGCTCACGGTGCTCAAGAGCTTTTAAACAGCACACAAATATTTTTCACACCCTCACAAAAGATAACTTACCTCAATATGAGCATTGAGGTTACTGGAAAAACGTGGTTGTTGAATTTTGTTGATGCCATTTTCGTTTACAATAATCCTTGAAAATATGCTCAATAGTCTTCACAATAAAAGCATCAAGGCTGCTCTCATCTCAACATTAGTTTTGATAGCACACTTTAATAATTTGTTTCTTGACAATTTTCGTTGACAATATTTGCAACATTTTCGTTCGAAAAAATTTTAATCGGTTGCTGAGATTTTTTTTTCTTCGCTTTTTTCAATTTTAATATTTAAGCTGATGTATTATGACGGTAGTCAAAAACAATGGTCTAGATATGGTTCAGCAGATCACCGAGGCAAAACGAGAAATTAACAAGTGTATCGGGTAGAAACCCAATGCGGATATGTTCACACCGTACCATCAAAAGTCTTATGGATAGACCAAGATTTGCTAAGGATAAGTTTGAAGGCATAAAGCTAGCGATGTATAAAGCTAGCTTCGCTCAGCATAAGTTTGAAGGTATAAAGCCAGCGAGTAAGCTGGGCTTCGCTCAGCATAAGTTTGAATGTATACAGCTAGCGATGTATAAAGCTAGCTTCGCAAAGCATAAGTTTGAAGGTATAAAGCCAGCGAGTAAGCTGGGCTTCGCTCAGCATAAGTTTGAATGTATACAGCTAGCGATGTATAAAGCTAGCTTCGCTCAGCATAAGTTTGAAGGTATAAAGCCAGCGAGTAAGCTGGGCTTCGCTCAGCATAAGTTTAAATGTATACAGCTAGCGATGCATAAAGCTAGCTTCGCTCAGCATAAGTTTGAAGGTATAAAGCCAGCGAGTAAGCTGGGCTTCGCTCAGCATAAGTTTGAAAAAGGGAAAGTTTTTTGCTTTTTCTGAAACAATGGCTGTTCTTACCTTGCCCAAAAACAATACAGCTCTTCTATAGAGCAGCACGGATCAAATGTAAAAAACTAGAAGTCTCTACGATGTCTCGTTATTGAGATTTCTTGCTGATTAACTTGCATGCTTGTTTGCTTGCTTACAGAAAGCGTATTTTGCGATTTTCTCAGAATTACTCAACCAAATTGAAATCTGTTTTTTGCAGAAGATGTGAAATTTCAGGCACAAACTTTTCATCTCTGAACATATTAAGCTATCTTGCTCCATTTCCTCGTAAAATACGAAAAATTGATTTTTCAATCTGAACAAAACCAATAGATTCACACGTGAAAACGGTGTGAATATAAAAATGAACAATTAAAAGGAGATCCAAATACAGAATCATCAAGTGAAGCCGAAGAAAAATATGCGGACGAAACAATAATTAGGTAACGAATCCGAATAGCAAATGGTGGACGTTATGGCACCGTGAAGGCAACAAATTTATGTCAAGCCGTATTTAAAACCGTCAAAAAACTACACTACGTTGCCGTGAAGTCAATGCAAAAGCGTAAATTTGCCGCTGTACCACCGTAAAGGCTACGTAGAACCTCTTTTCGCCCCATTTTTGTCGACGTCACGCCACCGCTTGTAAGTCATTTTGACAACGTAGAACAACCCAGACGGTAACATCACGGCAAAAAAATTATATGGGACGACGGCGTTTTAAAATAATATTGCGGCGCTTTAACGTTGACTTCACGGTTATTATTTAAAACCACATACGGCGGTTTCAGGAATGAAAAAAAAAAATGTTTCATAAAATACCAATATTTAAGTAGTTATAACATTTGTAATTTATTTTTATTCAGGAAATAAGTTTAAAGGTCTTTCAAAACGAAAATAGAGAAATATGGATAAGGAAACGATTTATTTAAGAATTAACTTCGACTTCTTCCATTACTGCTGATGTACCTTTCTTCCCAGGCCTCTTAGTCTCGTGCAAACGCTTGAAAAATTCATGGCATGCCTCTCCAGACTCATCTACGTTACTGAATAACCCCGGTGTATTTTTGTTGCAAACATCAAGTGCAAATTTATGATGCCCTTTGTAGTCTTCAAACGGAATCCTGCTTTTAAAAAAAAAAGCGTGTAATTAGTAACTGACTAATCACTTTATTTGTAAATTTACCTTTAATACTGGTCCAACCAATTTTTCTTACAAATTCAGCGTCGAAATAAATTTTTAACAGAACAGCAACAAGCCCATTATGTTTTCCAAAACCATTATTTGGCTTGGAAATGTTAATAGCGAACCATGCCACCTAAAACATATTATAAGAAATATTAAGAACTTAGAGGAAGATATACATCAAGTTTGGAGAGAAGAGCGTATTTAAAAATTAAATTTAAAATAAAATAAAACTTCCTAGGGGCCGTTCACTTATTACGTTCGCATTTTAGGGGGGGGGGAAGTTAAAAAATTGTAACAAAATGTAACAAAAGGGGGGGGGGGGGGTGTCAAGAAGTATGTAACGTTCTAACTGTCGTCTGTCTTTTATAATAAAATCTTTCGAAATAAAATAAATTATGAACGTTGGGGGGGGGGGGGGGGTTGTGAGTTGTAACATATTGTAACAGGGGGGGGGGGGTGGGAGGTGAAAAAATTCGTTTTTTTTGCGTAACGTAATAAGTGAACGGCCCCCTACTTCAAAAGTTTAATAATAATAAGGAAAATTAATTTCTGCATAAAAATATAGGTAATCGGTTTTCAAATTGAAATAAAAGAAGTCATACTCACAAGCTTTTGATATTCAATGAAAAATTCTTCCGTCATTGTAATCATATTGCTTTCCATTTTGATTAGTTCATTTTTATTTGTGATTGGTTTCGGCCTAGGTGAATTTTCAACAGTCACAGATCCACTAGCAATGCGTGCAACTTTTTCGGTCAAAAACTGGAAATCACTTTTCACAGATAAAAAAAAGGAATTCGGCCTTTCCATCATTAAAGCTTGATTTTCCTTTATCTGACGTATATCATTCTTAAGCTCCATAAAATCTTGTAAATTTACCATCTAAAAAAACATTAGAAAGAAATGTTTGTAAATACAATTATGTAACTCTGCATAATTTTCTGTCAAAATATTATTTGGTTTTTTTAAGGGTCAAATTTTATAAAATTTATACCTGCTCAATTTGAACGTCTTGAAGTTGTTCTATTTCCACATTATTACTTTTGCTCCTTTTGTCTTCATTAAATGAATTAGTATAGCTTACTGATTCTTTTGGAGTCTTAGAGTCTTTGATCATGGCACTGTTTCCCTCGTCGTCGCTTTCCATGCTACCTTCTTCGTGAATTGGAGCAAGCGTTTTCAACTTTTTGTTGTGACTTAAATTGAACTAAGAAAAAGAAAACATCGGTATTTCAAATAGAATTGAAGAAAAATTTACATAACATACTTCTTCAGTTATCATATTATTGAAATCCAAATTCAAGATGCCAGCAACTGGATGCTTTCTCTTATTCGATTTCATTCTTTGCTCATTCTCAGACGCCTCTGAATCAATGTGCTTTGTATGTATTATAATATATCTATTTGCTTCAGCCAAGTCTAGATATTAGAAAGAAATAAAGAAAATTAATTTCTTAAGTTATGAATGGAATTTTAAACAACAATTTTTTGTTCTATCATAGTTTGTTAATTATCACATGAAACACGCAAGAAGTTAATAAAAACTGTTAACTGAATTAAGACTTACTTTGAACATTAGCGAGCATTATTTTCACTTGTTCGAAATCCCAATCAGGAGCTGCTTCAATTTGTTTCTTTAGACTTTGATAATGTGTATTAGATGGTGGATAATATGTAAAACTGTTTGGATCATCTTTAAGTTTTGCCATCCATTTGCAGCAAACTACAAAATAAGCGTTAATATTGTTTCTCACAACATGATATCCTTCATTATGCATTACAAAATGATCCTATTTAAAATCCGAAATTAAAAAAATTAAAACTTTATTCATAATCCTTTAACATTTTGTACATCCGTTGACCAAAACTATCAATATTTTAGACCACCCTCCACATTCCAAATTATGTTTATCTTTTGTTAATGTTTTCATATAATGAAATAAAATTATTTATTTTGATACTTTTTTCTGAAATGCTAACCCAACTTAAAATGTATGTTTTTACGAAAATATGTAAAATGTACTTACTTAGAATAAAGTCTCGCTCACGGTTTTCCGAATTCTTGTGATAATTTATGACTTAGATGACAACACTTTATAGATCCAGCTCTATACTTGAAACGTCCTAACCATGGAATGCTGTGAATGTGTTGAAATTTGTAAGAATCTAAAAAATATAATAAGTGATTGACTTACAAATTTATCTGCACTATCGTTAGCTGAATGTTGTAAAGTTGTTGCAATTTGTGAAATAGTTAACAATCTCAGACTGTAAAATAAAAAAAATGAATTTTTATAGAAAAATTTGCCGTAAATCATAAATCTACGGCGTTCTGGTGGTACTCAATAAATTTAATGTTTTAAAGCGAATTTAAGCAAAAATACTCACGTTAAGTACTTTCCCTGAGTTATTTACGTTTGAAATGTTATAATATCCAGAAAAAATCACTTTAATTAATACTTTACGTGCCACAACTTAAATGAAAGATAAAAGACGACATTCGCGATCAGACTTCTTAAAACAATGTGTTTTTGGTGCATTTTATGATTAGTCGCTACGTTGCCGTTGAGTCGCTGCAAATTTCTATTTTGCGGTGAACCGTTCAAAATAATTTTCAAGGTTTTTTCACGGCATTTACATTTTTGTACCGTCTTGAGGTCAGCGTTAGGGTAGTTTTCGTGGTGCCGCTACGGTGCCGTATTTATTTGACGTAAACGTCGGTCGTACGACCAACCTGTGATTTTATTTGCCGTGTTGTGCTCTTCGGGGAAGTTCTAAATCATTCCGTTCACAGTAAATATCAATGAAACTTAAATATCAAGTAAATTAAGTTGCAGTCAATTAAATAACAAAAGCTCTCAAACGCATATTTGTTGACAATTTTCAAAATAGCTCCATCTGACTGTCAAAATTGATTACAACGGTGAGCTTTTTGCTGGTTAAATGCGAATAGGATATAAAGTCATATTCAAAGTAGTCAAAAGCGTGTAATTTTTCAATTTGTTAACAATGACTGTATAATTTTATTGCGTTTTCTCACGACATGCAGGAAAACTCTTGTATCATGACTTCCACATTTTTTCTCCTTGTTTCATAAGCTTTTTAAGGCATAATAACACTGGCAATTGAATGCCAAACATTTGAAATAACAGCGTGAAATCAAACAGTGATTGTAAGAGCTTTAATCACGATATTATGCCATCTCTTTACTCTCAAAAAAAGGAACGTTCTGCGCAATATCATTTTTGTTTCATTCCTCAATAAAGAGCGGGTCAGAGGTGCAGGAATCTTTATTAGTGATGATAAAGTTTTCAAGTTTCTAACGCATTCGGAAGGAAATGATAAAGAAAAAGTCGTCTCAACACCCCAGCACTGATGACGTAACAAGCAAAAATAACACATGGAATTGAGGGGAAATTTAGGCATATCTATGCAAAAAAATCGCCAGTCTGTTTGTAGTTCGCGAATGGTTTATAATTTCTCCTTCGACAGCAGTGAAAAAAATTTTTATCTGATAAATTTTATTTGTTTTTCTCACAGTTTAGTACCTATTGATTTCTATAAAGTTATAGAAAGTGGAAATCATACAACAACAAAAAAAAAAATTGCTCAAATTTTTATAACAATAATCTGAAAAATTTCGGCAGGGCAGATTTTCTTTTCGTGCTTCTAACAAAAGAAGAAAAAAATGGAAGTGAAAAATTTCTTGTAGAATGAAATAAAGAATAAAAAAATAGTTTTTGATAAGAGAAATTTATTGGAATTACGTGAACCATTTTTTATGCTAGACAATTGAATTTATTAAGCATTAAAAGAAATTTGATGTGTTTAAAGTTTTGACTGAGAAAATTTTGACAAGTGTTTCCATTTTTTGTCAAGAAAAAAAAAAGGATGTGCGAAAAGAAGTGAATAAGAAAAAATTAGAATATATAATCGAAAATGTAGTCTGAATATTCATGAAAATCAGTGCTTTAAGCTTACATACACATATAGAGTGTCTCCTCTCACTCACTAGAGAATATCAATTCACCTAGTTGCATAAATTAAAATTAAAAAAAAAAAACATAAAATTATTGTTCTACTCATAAGCTTTTATGTCAAAGCAAGAAGAACAATTTGCAGATTGAGAATTGTGTGAGAAGTGAGGACAAAGAAAAGCAAATAAGAAGAAAATAACAAAATTGTGTAAGAACAAACTATAGTTTGTAAAAAGGAGCATAGAAAGTGCTCAGCCGTGCGCCTGATAATCGATACATAATAAATTTCATTGAGACGGCAATGTTGTGAGGTGTTTTGAAGCATGCATTTTTGAAGCATTAAACTGGTGCATTTTTCATTCAAGTTGTTGAAAAATTGATGTTTTGTCTTTCGTATGTTGAAGCTGTAATTGCCTTTCAAGCTTGACATATCACATGTTTAAATATTTTTTATGGATTTTTTTAAAAACTTTAAGAAATGAGAAGTTTCTGAGTATTCAATTTTAATTTTTTCTTCACATGATTGCATTCTTTGCATGATGACTGAAGTTTTCTAAGCAATAAAAGCTCGTCTAACCTAGTTTTGAGTTAATGAAAACAATCATTTTAAATTTATATCCTTCGCTCATATTTGATTAAATTATGCAATTTATTAGTGCATCTTTTAATTAAAATTCTCCAAAAGTATAATCCTGTGCAATTAAATAAATAATCCTATTAAAAACAATACCATTAAAACTGCGATGCAGTCAGAGTTTTCAAGAATTATGGTATGAAACTCGATAACATTCAAGATTCAGCATAAAAGGAATTTCTCACAAATCATTACTTTTAAGGATGCATTATTAAGACAATTTAGCTACATAATCATGATTTTAGATGACATCAATACAAAAGCTCTTAATATAAAGCTCAGGTTTCTCAATTTAAATAAAAAATAAATTGACAACACAGTTGTCTAGCGCTTAAGATCTTAAAGCTCACAATTTCAATCTTGAGGCAAAACTATCATCAATAAAGTGGTATAAATCGCACTATAAGCTTTATTTGTATCAAGTATCCAGGTATATACTTATCACAGATTCTCACATTATGCCTGGAATAAGATCTATATTTAAACTGTTTAAAACAACGCCCAATTCACCTATTAAGGGGTCTATTTAGATTTATATTCAATTTTAATGAGACGTCCTTCATAAATTTGGTCATATTACCTATTGAACTATTAAGAAGTTCGTAAAGTCCCTCCTAGCTTTCCCTTTCTTTAGATAAATCATTAATAAAATAACTTTGCAATTAATTGATTCAATATCACATCTACGATATGTATCAAAACTTCTTGTTATTTATCCTACGTCTCAGAAACTTTCACATTCAATAACTCAGTTAAATTAATTCTATATTTAGAATTCAAGCTTTACCCACCTAGAAATACGACATAAAATGCTTCATCATTGAGATAGCTTAAATTCATAATGAGGATTAAAACATAGAAAATCCATTTCCAATGGCAACATTTTCTTCGCATTAAGAAAAATTTCTTCCTTTTTTTGCCATAAAACTAATTAAGGCTTTAAAACTCAAATTTAAAATTTTCGACAGAGTCTATTTTAATAAGTGAAGCCACAAAAATCAATTTCTCAAATTGATGAGTAGGAAATTGACTCATGTTGCTACGTTATCGAATGATAAATTGAATTTCATATCCATTTGAGTGGTTTCCATCTGTAGATGTACGCTGAAATTTTGGCATTTAACAGTTAAAATATGTTTTAACAATATCTATAGAAACGATATTCTAATCTGTGGAGCCAACATGATAATATTAGATGGTTCCAGTATTTTATTGAACCCCCAATCAGATCATTAAAAGATGCAACAAATCTAATTCATGCTTTACAGTCTTGTGTTTTAAATAGGGTGACCATCTGCGTAGTTTTACAACGGACAGTCCTGTATTTCAAAACCCTGTCCTGTAAAAATTTGAAAATTTTGTTCCATGTCCTGTATTTTTTTCATAAAAATTTCCGTTAATTTTCAAATTTTCCTTTGTGTCCTGTATTTTTTAGGGAATTTATCAAATGTCCTGTATTTTCATAAAAATTAGATGGTCACCCTAGTTTTAATTGATAATTTCTATTAGATTTAAATCGAGCTTTTTGTCTGAAATTTTCGGAACAGGATACACAATTATCTAGTTTGGTGTGTCTACTCGCCATAAAATCGTTACAGACAAACATTGTATTGTGGAGCATAGGTTGAGAAGCACAAAGGCTATGAGCTACACCTGGAAAGTAATCTAGAAATCTCTGATTACGATATGATACGGTTGCTTTAAATTTTATGAACGACGAGCAATCTAAAGAATCTAATGTTCCGTACGAAATCATCATCATCTTGAATAAAAAAATGCGCTAGTTTTGTGAATTTCAATTGAATGCAAATATGTCAATACTTTATTGTTTTATGTTTTATTAAAAAAGAGAAAACGAAATGTGCTGAGTGTTTGATGACATCCCCATTTATCGACACGATTAATAATACCAAACAATATTCATAGCAACAAAAAACGAGAGACGTGAATTAAAAAACAAAACAGCAAAGCTTTGGATAAAAAATAAAATTCATTGGATGACAGACATTTAATTTAAAAGCATAATAATAAATTGATAAATAGACATAAAACTGAAGAATGTACTAAGATTGGAAGCAAGGAGAAGAGTGTGCGACACCTGACATGGAGAATGAAGAAGAAAAAGAAATATATAATCAATAATGGATCACATCCATGATGTTAGCTTTGAAAAGTGCTGTTGGCAGAAATTCATATTTATCATATGATGAAAAACATTTTCGGATGATGTTGATGAGCATGATATTATGAGATGAAAATCAATTTTCCTTCTCTGTCTTCTCCCTTCTTATCTATTTCTACAACAAAAAGTAAAAGAAAATCTTTAAATCTGATGAAAAGTGTATTTGAATATGTGGTGATAAGGAATTAAGCTCTATTGAGCTCACTTCACATTCTCTGTATCTTATTTTTTTCGCATAAATACGACGACACATACAAATTAGGACATATTTTATATAAGATACCTTATACCGATGCAATAAGAAGTTATAACAATAATAATAATAATTAAGAGATCCAGAATAGGTCAGTCAGTGTGTGCTAATAAGATGACAACATTAAAGTCAAAAGAGTATTTAAATTTTTTGGAATTTCTAATAAGATTTATGATAACAACAAAAGTAGATTCTAAATCGTTAATTTATATAAGGAGTAAGGAGCTAGTTGTTTCAAAAAGTGCTTGGTGGAAATGCTTGAAGCGAACAGTGTCGCGTGTGAAAGCTTCGTGTAGCAGCTGGTTATTATTAATTATTATCTTTAGAGTGCCAGAAATTTGCGCTTTAAAAAATAATTCATCGACATTAGCATCATCTACGATAGCATCAATGACTTCTCTAACATATCATGCAACAATGCTTGTGCCAACTGCCAACATTGTCAATTCTGTTAAAGAAAAATTCATAACAGTTTCTGAAAAGGATAAAGTCATTATGGGATTGTCAAAAAATAATAATGAGGATTATGATGGTGAGGATTCCGACGAAGATGATGAAGAAGAAATTTATGATTATAACGACCGACTGAATTATTCTGGTGAGTAACAATCCTTTATCATTTAACATTCTATAAGCTAACTGTTCATTCAACCAGCTAACGGAATGATGGTGGGAAGTCATTGTGAATATACATGTGATAAACGACTACGACACGTTTTTTGTAATCCTCGCTCGAAGAAATGTGAATGTGAAAAAAATTATCCAGTTAGTATTGGTAAGACAGTCATATTCTAAGTTCTGTACTCTAAAACAATGGCAAATGTAGCTTAAAACAAGGCCAGGAAACTATATGATTATTGTTCCTTCTCTTAATATCCTCAATATAAATGTTTGATTCTTTTCGAGGTTTCTAAGTAAGCAGCCACAGGCAGGATATATCAAAATACTAATTATATTTATGGCATTCAGCAGATCAATAGCAATGTCAAAATAAACTTTATATAATGTTTAGTGGAATTCTGAAAAAAGAAGTTGAAACTTCTTACAATACTTTATTTCAACTTCTTGCATTTAGCTTACTTCCTTAAAATACAGTCTTTGTCAACTGCCTCCTTCTATAAGTTCTTCAGATATTAAATATAAAAAATTCAGACGACATTTCTGTCATTAGTTTTTGAAATTAAAGTTCTTTTTCCTTCCTCTCCTTTATTTCCTCTTTGATCAAGGCTCTGGAACATAAAATAGTTGCTTGGGTGGTTTCAGAATAAAAGGCACGACAAAGCACTTAAACAATACGTCACGATACCTTTAAGTTTAAGCAGAAAATGGAGTCAAGTAACAGTAATCAGGATAGAAAAGCTTCCTTACCTTGTTAAGAAAAATAACTCTTACATTCCAACACTTCCAGACTACTCAAAAGAAGCATAAATAAAAATAATTGTTCATTCATTCTCTCTCGTTCTGTTCTCTTACCCACTTCAAAAAAATCTTTGTTCATTCCACTTATTTCTAATAAACATGCACATATACATCATAATCATAATAATAATGAAGGTCCTCGAAAAGGCTGTGAAAAACGTAAGTCTTAAAAATTACACTCCATCATAATATCCATATACATTATTCACTTTATCTGCTTTTTTTGTTCTTCCTTCTCTTTCTTTCTTTCCAATAATTTTATGACAACATGACTACAGCCAAAAAACTAGGCGAACAATGTTTTTATGACTTAACATGCCTGCATAATGATGAAAATTCCGTTTGCATGCAAATAAATCACAATGCAATATGTGATTGCAAAGAAGGCTATCATATTGTCACACATTTAAAGCCCACAAAACGAACGTTTTGTACTCAAGGTAAACACACCGACCAAATAATGCTGAGCATATATGAATATGAGATTATTAGTGATATGTATTATATTACATGAGCCAAAAAATAAGCTCCGAGAATATAATAGAGAGATTCTACTGCAAGGACATACTGCGACACATGGGTATAATCATTAATTCCTTTTTTTTTTATTTCGTCTTATTCAGATTCAATATCACCAGATTTGCCTACATTGCTTGGCGTTAGCACGGGAATTTTTGTTTTAGCTGGTTTAATATGCATGGTTTTGCATCTATTTAGTAAGACAAAATATCCTCGTACACGTAATTTTGCGGATGCTCATCATGCGGGACCACCAGTCTTTTTTGCGAGTGATACAGGTATTGTGTTAAAATTTATGTTGCTTATCGTGCATAAATCCTCATATAATAATCTTGTGTAGGAATTCCATTGACAATACAATCAAATCGACCATCATCGAGATCGAGTCAGCGCTCAACTGGATCAATTGGATCAACGAGATCATTTACGAGGCGCTCGTCTGGAATATTACATTCAAAAGGCGTTAATGTGTCGCAGTCACGTCAAGGTAGCGCACGAAGTGCAGCAATTCTCCTTTATTCATATCACTTGACGCAATTAAATGCTCTCAATGATAAATCATCCTCACAAATTAATAATAATAATAATTCTAATGCTAAAGCTAATAATTTAAATAACATTAACATATGTAGTCAAAATTACTCAAATCACTTTATGGCCAAATACATTGAGCAGCAGTTAGAAGATCAAAAACGTCTGCTGTATTTGGAAATTCCCGCTTTAAAAAATCACAATAGTTTGATGAGAAAATTACGGCTTAATCTCAAGTCAGAGTCTGATTTGAGTCAACTCGATACATATGAACACGCTCAACATTTAATTGGCAATAATCCACTGCACAGAAAATTGCACCGAAAATTATTTAAGAGAACGACAACAATCGATGATAATGATAGATTCAATAATGATAAGGCTGAGGTGGATGAGAGATCAGGTGTTGCGAATGATTTGTTTCCAAATAAGAGCACCGATAATGTTGATTTAAATGGTAGTTCGGAAAGCAGGATACATAATATTAGTTTACGTACAAATCCTTCCACGACAGATGGGGGCTATACAAATCCAATGGCATTTAGTAGCTTCGATGACTTGGACGATCAGTCGAGTGACTACGACAGTGACAATGATGAGCGAAAGGATTATCATCGAACATTTCTTTTTGGTAATCAGGAAATAATAATTGCGGCATTACCAACACCTGCTTCAGAGGGCCCATCAATTGCGGTAATAATTGATGTCTATGCTTAATGTACATAACTAATAATGAATGATTAATAATACATACCGTACCAAGAAGAATTTCGATTATAAAAAAAATTCTTCATGTACATTTTAAGTATGTTGTATTATAATGTCTCTAAGTATGTAATGAATGTAGAATTACTCTCTGGATATGTGTGTACATACCATAAACACAACATAGTATCACATATTAGTACTATAATGATGATAAAATACACTTCACGTTGAGATTGAGAACCATCTGAGATTTGTAATAAATTATTAATCTGGATTCGAAATGTCATTAATTCAAAATTGTATATCCACATGTGCGGAATTGGAATCATTCATCACCAAATTGTTCTCAAATCTCAACTCAAATCAAATTAAACTATCTGATCTCTCTTAATACCTCTGATAGCCAAATTTTGAAGTTTCTGTTTCAAGTTCAAATTTTTGATAGTCAGACGAACATGTTTAACATGATAAAATGCTGAGTTAATGTCATTATTATTGTTGTTGTTTGATGTTGTTGATCTTTTTACTATCGTTTCTGTTCTTTTTCTCCTCTGTTATATTCAAAAGATAATCCACAAACTTTATTTTACACATTTTGTAGAATTATTCATTTTTTAATTTTGTTTCAAAGCATACGCTCTCTCTCTCTCTCCTTCCTTTCCACCTCATAAATATTAAGTTTATAATCTTTTGGAAGCGTGACAAGAATTTCCTTCCACTTTGAGTTCACTTCGACCAACTAAATTGTTGGTGACTCTGACAAAATAATAATTGTACTACAATATAGTAGCAGCAGTACAAAATTTTCGAGTGCCACAGGTATTTTGAACAAAAAAAGACTTAAGGAGGTTTCTCACATTATGCACACTTGACATGATTTACAAAAAACTAGCAATTCTCAATAATTTTTTGTAAAAATTTTAAGGAAGAGCTTTTGGACTGCTCAATTATTAAATAATGCTTTCAGGTGGGGGGGTGTCTGAGATTTAAAGCTTTGTTGAGAATTGCTAGACATAAAACAATGGTACCTTAGATTACCTCACTCGTAGTAACAGAGTGCACCCAACAATCAGACAAAAAATTTAAGAAAGGTGGTATATTTAATAGATATTACTTATTAGGCTGCCTTACTCAAGTAGAAATGCGTGCAAATCACGTCAGTTTGTAATGTTGTACCTGCTTTTTATATAAATCAAAACAAATCATTGATAAAAATCAGGATTTGTAGGATGAAGCTTAATTGAGTAAAACTTCTCAATTATTCATTTATGCCTTGAAATTCAGCCAAATGAACTATAACCATATTAAATATTTAAGCCTGCTGCTTTTATTGTGCCAGAAAAATATGCAATTTATTCTTTCATTTCACTAAAAATGAAAAATCAACAGCTTATTTAATGTACCAAAATATACTCTTACGGTGCACAAAAACTTGTTTCCCTCTTTGCATTCTTAAAACACAGTTTCATACTTTTTTTTATCAAAATTCCTTTCTGAAAGGAAATATGCGGCAGTAGATTTTCATTTCTTCTTATTTACGGCAAGTTTCTTTTTACTACTTTGAGAGCTTTTTTTTCCTATTCACCGTAATGCAAAATTGCTTTAACTTTCCTTTTTTTCTTTTTCTGTAATCATTGAATTTTGCATGTTGTACGATACATAAGGAAGGCTATAAGACATCCTACCCTTCAAGTTTTGGCAAATTTTTAAGAATTTACAGTCGCTGAATTTTTAAGTCTTAATCAAAATTACTTAAAGAATTGTGTTTAATTCGTTTAATTTAAAAAACTTAATGAATAGCTTTACAAACTAGACACTAGAGTTTTAATTTGGAAAAAAATTATCAAAAAGCTCATGAAAGCTTTCAAAAGATGCAAAAATTTGCTTTAATTTTACCGACCAAAATTTTAAATTTATTTTTACCGTTAATAAAGAATTGTGAAAATTTGCCAAAGCTTGGATTTAACTCGGATAATATTATGGAAAAGTCTCTATAATATAATTACATTTTTATTTCATTTTCATGAATAGGTAGCAGAAGACCAAGCTTAGCAAGCGTTCACAGGTAAAATTATACTGCATAATTATAATATGTTTTCAGAACAAAATCTAAATTGTAATTTCAATAATTTTAGCACGACCTCATCAATTCGAAGCTACTCTAGTCGACGGTTTGAGCAAGAAGTACGTGACAAGGAGCTGAGGCAAGAAATGAAGAAACAATTATGTCGATTACAAGAGCAACAACAGCTTCAAAAGCTTCGACCAACAATCATAATTGGTGATTCCGTACCTTATACAATTCAGACAAAGCAGTCACCACACATTTTGACCCCAAATTCAACGGATGAATTATTGCCATCAGTTGAGGAAAATGATGAGTTTTCACCACAATTCGATCGGAAGAATCCATGATGAATGTGCACTTGGCTTACGGAGCCGTTAAACTAATGATAAAATGCTGCTACAAAAGTAAAAAAAATGAAGATTAAGAAAATAAATTGTGAATTTATTTAAATATCGACTTCCGTTAAATTAGATCGCATATTAAATGTTCTCTTTTCTGCGAACAATTGTTGAATGTTTATATTGCATAAATAATTAAGCATTAAAACTATGATAAATTATAAGTAGAGTTTAATAAGAGAAACAAACAAACAATTAGAAGAAAATGGAATGAAAAAAAATCATGGATGGCGTAAATCATGATTCAAAAAGCTGAATGACATGGGACTGAAGTTGATTGAGATCACTAAGGATGAATTCATTAAAAGATGGAAATATATTTGATATTAAGGAATTAAGAGATTAGAGAGAGATATTCTGAATTCTTAGGGATGTTTTCTTTAGAATTGCATTATGGGCATAATGAAAAATTAAGAACCTACAATATTTGAATTTAGATCGCTTTATTTTAAACTTTAAGTGACCAAAATTGAAAAATCAAAAGTATAAAAAATTTCAGAACTTATTTCCAATTTTTAAAAATTGGTTTTTAGATATTGTACTCTAAAGATAGCATTGCAACATAAGAAATAACTTAATAAACGAAGCATAAATTGTAAAACAATAATAAAATATTCATAGAAACTCAATCAACTTTAGTCCCATGAAAAAGTTTTCTATCCGAATGATAAGGAAGTTTGTCAAGCCTTATTCATCTATAGCTTGTTATTAACATACATTTACTAAAGAAATTTATAGTAGGGAAAAAATAATCAAAATGGAAGCTTCTGGAACACAGAAAAACTGCATTGAATTGCTGATGGAACTGAGGCACTATTGATCAATGAAAGCAGCACAAATTGATGTAAGTTTTTGTTTCGCTCAAACCTAATATAAATGATCGCATTCGATCTTTTGTAAAAACTACTTCAGCAGTTCAATGTCAGTAATTTTCAATTTCCTGAAAATGCAGCAGTGAAACTAAGTAGATAAAAAAAAGCATTCATTTATTTATTGCTCGCTGATTATAAAAGGAATTAGTTCATAGTACAACCGAGTACAACATCATTGTAAATTTTTTATAGAAACTATGTTAAAACTTCGTCAACATATTTGCATGTTTATGTCTTAAAACCATACCTAATGAAACAATTGTTGACCAGGATTGGTTTATCTCTAGAATCGAAAATCTGTGTGCTTCACATTGTGACATAAAAAAAATGTAACAATGACTGGGGTAGCCATAGAAATCAGCTTTAGTTTTCTTCCTAAATTCCAATTCAATAGTTCCTCTATATCAGGCAAATTTCAAGATTTTTTTAACTTATGATTGTAAAATTTTAAATTTGAAGTTAATTTACAGGATTTTAGATTTTCATTTAAATTTTAAGCATTTAGAAACTTCTTCAAAGCCTTCAAAAGTTATAAAGACATAAAATCATGCGAATATATCGACAAAACCCAACAATTTTGAAAAATTTATTTAGAGATTTATCTTTTCATGTTATTAAGAAATTATCTTCTCAAAAATAAATTTAATTCGATTAAGAAATCCATGGTAAATCTGTAATAGGAACTCATTTATTTCAAATTGCGTAAATGATGCTCACAATAAAAACCTAAGAATTTAAAAATGAATTAAAAACAATTTATTTTAAATTTGATATAATTTTTATTTCAGTTTTTCAGAATTGAAAATTATTAATAAACAATTTTTTTCATTCTCATCGATTCCTACATATGTTCTCATGCTGTATTAAATTAATTAAAAATGTGAAGGAAGAAAAAAAACTGAAGACTATAGGAAAAATAAGAATAAAATAATGAAATATTTTCTTGGATTGAATCTCTTGAGAATTTTTCACCTCCTGTCTCAATTTCATTTTTTTTTTAATAATATAAAGCGTTTTTCTTCATTTTCATAAGGATACAAAAATTTTCTTTCTCGTGAAATATGATTTTTTTTTCTTAATGATTTCTACAATATATAAAAAAAGCTCATTGCATCGTACTCAAGAGATGTTCCATCCAAATGTTTTATACGTCTTTAAAAACTATTAATAATTAAATATGAATCTTGTTATAAAACTAAATTATACGTGTGATTTTTCATTAAACATTGCATACGTTTAAGTTTATTCTTAATAATTATATGAAATAATATTTAGCATTTTATAAATTTTCTTTATACATTTTTTTTTTGTTTTTTTTTTTTCATTCAATTGATGATGAAAACAAGGTTGTGGAACTGATCAAATAGATCAAAATCTTTTTTTTCAGTTTTGGATGAAAATTGAATCTTCTTTTTCGGGTGTAAAATCTTAAGATTATTTTTTATTTCACTTTGGTGTCTGAGCAGAATGGAATCATAGGATATCCCGATATATGAAAGTGATTCTGTCAGTTGTGGAGCAAAGCCTCAGTGACGCGAAATGTAACACAACAGACCGATTATGTGTAACCCTCTTTTGTGAGGACTTGAGTTTGATTCTTACCAGAGACCGATCTCTTAATTCATTACATAGAGTGCTGTTGATATCACAAGGATTTGCACCAATGCTCACATCAAATGTTAAACTTTCTCAAAATTAATGATATCAGTTACAGAAAGATGAAATTTGAGACATGAAAACCCACATTTTGAAGTGCAAATTTCATGATCAAGTAAGTATGAAATCTTAATAAATCCTAGAAATTTATAAGATTTTCGAATCAACATAACACACATAGGTTGTGAACTAGTAACTTTTGTTCGTTGACTACGGCAAAGAGCTTTAATCTTCGCTCAATTCTTCCGAATTAATTTGAGGATAAAGATACTTGATATTTGACTGATGCATATCAAGTTGGCGTCGTTAATTTAAAATCTACTAGGTTTAAGAATTACAGGACTTCAAATCGTTGTGTTCTAAAACCCTTCAAAGATTACACAATTAATAGAAATTGTAAGGTTTTCAGTTTAGAAAAAGCTTTTAAAGACTTTTTCTTGCTCAATACAAATTCAATTCGCAATTAGCTTAACTGTTAATAAACTTTTTAACTAGTTTTTTTAACAGAATTTAATCAGTACAATATGATAACCCATAAGTCATCTGATTGATTGCAAAAAAAAGAACTAAAAGTAATAAAAGCATAAATCATCAATCAGTAGAGTCAATAACAGATTTTTAAAACACAACAAACTTCTAATTTTCATGGTTAATCGATCTCATTCAATTTCAAGTTCTAGATTGAGCATAAAATTATGGAAAACTTTTCGTTCACCAATGCTAGATTATTCAATACTTTTCATCATCATCATCATTTTCATCATATGTATTAAGGCCATTTCAGCTATTTCTATTCTCTTTGTTATTATTTTTCTTCCTTTCTATGAAAACAAAAAGTTTTTCTTTTATTGTATTTCCAAAATGAACAAATATATATATAAAATAAATCATAATAATTTTTAAGGACATTTATGTACTTATATGTTTTATGTTGCAAAAGAAGGAAACTAACTTAACTTATATTAAGAAGATAAAAAGAAATTTAAGGAAAAAAAATGTTTAAAGAATCGAAATTTTCATGAATTTTCATTTTTCATTCACTATAAAAATTTTTACTTGTTATTATTAATTTTTTATGTATCAACTAAATATGATTTTTGCAATCATAATAATTATAAATCTATATAAACTTTCTCCTTTCTCATCTTCCTCGACATCCTGTACTTTTCATGTTTTTTTTTTTACTTTACAATATTACAAATCACCAATATCCCAACAACTTTGTTTACTTCTGTTTGAGTATCTTCTTAACTATTCAATCTTATTACATAATAAAAAGTATATTTTTTTTCATCGGCGGATTTCATAATCCAATTTTAACATCCTTCCTCCTATTTCTCTACATGTGATAAAATATGTTTTTCACTACCACCATCACTTTGTGGCGCCAACTTTACACAAATTATCTTTTTTCCACTCGCAAAGTCTTTATATACGTCCCCCTATTCCATTTGATCCGATTGTATTATCTCATATTTTACCCATGTTCCACCGTCTGGTAGCACTTGCAAGACTTGCTGATTTGGCATTAGTACATTTCGTGTTGCCAATTGAATTTGTTGGCCTTGCGATTGAGCCTGACCTGATTGTTGGATTGTTATCTGCTGTTGACCTTGCTGGTCTCCATTCTGTTGTACCTGATTCTGTTGCTGTTCAAGCTATTTAATTATAAAATTTATATATTGGTATAAAATAAACTAAATTAAAGATCATTCATAAATGATGTCTATCATAAAAGGAGACGACATTTGTGATTGATTTTTATATGTATGCGTATGTCATACCTGTTGCTGTTGATTTGATTTCCCGCCACGATTCTGTTCTAAATGCTGACGTTGATGAAGAATGAGATGGTTCTTTTGGAGGAAAGCTTTTCCACATTCAGGACATACGTGTGAACGCAGGGTACAGCTTCCGTCTGGATGACGCTTATTATGCAACATAAGACCATGTTTAGCAACGAAACTCTTCCCACAATACTGACAAAAGTGTGTTTTAGCCTTTTGTTGTGGCGGTGATGTGATTTGAACAACTGTGGCTTGTTGTACCTGCTGATTCTGATTTTGTTGCTGTTGTTGCTGATGCTGATGTTGTTGTGTAACTTGAACAGTTTGTTGTTGGACAATTTGCTGTTTAACTTGAGGTTGCGCTTGCTGTGCAGACTGAATTTGTATTTGTTGATGTTGTTGATTATGTTGTGGACTCTGAAGGATTTGATTCACTACTTCGCCAGTAGATGTAATAATTTGGACCGGCACTGGAGATGAAGAGGCTCCCGGTTGTGTAGTAACAAATGTTGTACCCGAAGGAAGATTAACTGCAAAAATAAAGATCATTTAATATCAAATTCTGTTGCTTAATGAATTTTAAAATTACTTTGATTAACACCTTGAAAAAGATGGCCAGGAATGGAGGCAGTAAGGGCGCATAAATCGTTAATAAGACTCTTATCTCCCGAATGAAGCCGTAAATGTAAGGCAAGACCTTCACGGCTATTGAACACACTTCCACATTCTCGGCAAGCATACTGCAAACGAGGTGGAGTTTCTCCACTTATTGTAGTTAAAATATTAGGATTTCCAACAACGGTAACCGTTTGTCCTTGTTGCTGTAAATGCTGAACTTCAATTTGTTGTTGTTGTTGTTGCTGCTGTTGCTGTTGTTGCTGCTGCTGTTGTTGTTGTTGCTGAACTTGATGTTGAACATTTGCTGCTTGTTGAGCAGCAGCTTGTTGCTGAGCTTGCTGCTGTGCAGCAGCTTGTTGTGCTGCTTGTTGTTGAGCTTGATTTTGTTGTTGCTGTTGTTGAATAACTGTAGCCGTTTTATTTGTTACGATTGTCGTATTTGGTGCATTAGGATTTAAACCACCGTGTACTAATCGATTATGTGCATTTAGTTCTGCCTTTGAAGCAAATCCTTCACCACAAGCTAAGCATGGGAAGCTTGCTTCACCTGTATGTGTCTTCATGTGAGTTGCTAATGTACGCTTCTGAAGAAATTCTCGTCCGCAAACGGTACAAGAATGTGGTACGCGACCATGCAACTTTCCATGATTAATAAGCTGAAATTTTCGGGCAAATGTGGCTCCACAATCATTACAGGCAAATGGATTTACGGATCCATGGAATCTTGAATGCATATCCAAATGTTCTTTCTGTGCGAAACTCTCCCCACAATCCTAAATAAGTTTAAAATTAAAGCATTATGAAAACATGATAGAAAATACAAGAATACTAACAACTACCTCACAAATAAATGGCCGTTCTCCGGCATGAAATTTACTGTGTGTCACCAAATGACGTTTTAGAGGAAATGATCTGCCACACTCTTGACATACGAAAGGACGATCACGAGTATGTACTCTAAGATGCGTTAATAAATGATGTTTTAATGTGAAGCACTTCTTACATTCACCACATTGGTAGGGACGCTCGGTGGTATGAAGCAATAAATGTGTATTTAAGCAGTGTTTGTGACTGAAATCTTTATGGCAGTGAGGACAGACATGGGGACGTTCGCCAGTATGCGATCGTGCATGAGTTGTTAAGTGATGCTTCAATAAAAATGTCTTTCCGCACTGCTCACAAGCATAAGGTCGTTCCTTATTACTGCCTGGATCATTCTTTCTAGTCTTCTGAATGATTGGCTTCGAATCTTCTGCCGTCTCGAAATGCTACAAGTATTTATCTCGTTAGAATACACAAAAAAATATTAGCATAATTAACTCACGACAATCTCAATAGTTTCAAGTTTTGGCGATGAACTCATATTTGGTTCCATTTTGCAGTGTGTTAATTGTTGCTCTTCACTATCCTCGAGAGTCTGTAACACTTTCTGGACCTGAATTGATATGGCTAGAATGGAATACGAATGTTATTATAAAACATCTAGAAAGAAGTACTATAGTTCTTACGAGCATTATGACCATCCGAAGCAGTAGTTGTGATGGCTTGTTGATTTTGGACAGCAGCAACGGCTCTCTTCATGAGAATTTCGTTACATTCTTCAGCTGTTAATTGAAGTGATCCAATCGGAGACATAAAATGTGTCGTTTTATCACTGGTTGTTGTATATACAGTTTGAGTTTTTCCATCAAGAATTGTGTTTCCTACTTAAAATGATTAATAAACAAAAATGAAGAGATCCAGAGAAGAAATTTATTTGATTGTTTATTTACCCGATTGTCCACTGGATGTTATGACTCTATGCTGACCAGAATTTTGGCCATCGCTCACTAGAATCATCCGACGATTTATCATTTTATCCTGTGATATATTTTTCACCTTCACGATTGTTGTTTAATTTACTAACACTTCATACAACAAGAAATTTCTATAAAATAAATAATAAACAGAAAGATTTTTATTAGGAAAGTCTAATAATGGAAGCAGGTAAGAAGTCGAAAAACTTTTATTAGCATCAAATAAATAAGAAATGGCTATTAAGAACAAAATTCTTGGTTTGTTTATATTTCTACTGGATCTATTAAATCGCGCGAAAAAAAAATTGTTATGTTGTGAAAAACATCCACAAAAAAGAGCTGTGAAGATGTGTACAGCATATTCTGTCTGTATGATAGGCATTACAATAAAAAAAAATACTTTTTATACTGTACATATTATCACATCCAAAAAAAAAATGTAATATTAGAATTTTCTCAGACACGCTTACATTTATTTTTGTGTAACTTGCACTTTTCACGAATTATAAATTTTTTAATTAATTTAATTTTACTTTTTTAATACCGCGTCCTAAAAATCTGAGTTATAGGAACTGATGACGTTACACATACAGCGAAAAAAAAAAATTGGACTGTAAAAGTGACGCTGTGGAAAAAAATCAAAATGGAAACGCAAAAAATATTTTAAAAATCCATTTTCATTCACTTTCCACGAATTTCTTAACTTTTCCTTACTGTCAGAATTTGCTTATTAAGTTTATTAAAAGTTTTTCGATATTTTTTAATGTTGAAATGCAAAATACAAATTAATTTCTAAATTAATATTGGTAAGCACCTTCTTTTTTATTGTATTATTTGCTAGATTCTACAGAGTTTTAGTTCTCATTTTCTCCACATGTGTCGCATGCTTCAAAAAAACCGTTAATTTTCATCCAAATTCAGCGTTCCTTACGATATTTTCTCGTGACAATAAGTTAATTCAATTAAGAATCAATAAAATGTCTTAAATTAACATAAAAATTAATAATGTTCATATAAAAATAACGAAATAATGGACAAAAGAATTTCAACACAAAGTTAGCAGCAAGCAATAAATGTTCTATAGACTACAAACACAATTTCAGCAAGTGATAGACAAGAAAATAAAGTATATATTTTTTTACGCATGTATATACTCAACCTTTCAATTCATTCATAAAATTGAGGCACAATACACGGTTACAGACAAATTGCGATATATGTGCTGTATGCTTTATTTACATTAATTTTGTCATAGATCACGAGGATTTTTCTATGAACATATACACTTTAAAATCTTGAAAATGCCACAGTTTTAAGATTTTTATGGATGTTTTATGTCTCAGATAAAATTTTCACACAGAAAAATTAAAACAAAAAAAAAATTCCTCATGCATGCATCCCTCTAACATGTGTAACTAAACTACCAAACTTCTTCATGTTCGCTACAAGTAAGTGATATACTCGGATATACATTCTTTTTTTCTCTTTTCATTATATTAGTTTTTAAGTTTCAATGTAAAAACATTATTGATAATGTAAATACGGTAAATACTGTAAAATACACGGATATACTGTAGTAACAATGTATAAATAGGATAACAATTTTTTTTTATTATATCTCTACATATCGTGTGAACACATAATAGTCATACACTGCTACAATGCTCTCGTATATACATAAGACTCTTATAAATGCACTCGCATTTTTTTTTCTTAGTAAAACTGCCGGTGTTAAATACACCAAAAAATTAGAGCAACATGTTGTTATTATTTTATTTTTCTTTTTAGGTATGATAATAAACACATACTTGATAATGTTCTCAAAATCATCACAAACAATGTTTACATAAAATTGAACTTTATGCGTGCATGTATGTATGGACCATTTTTGTTTATCAATGAAATTTTGTGCTTGTTATTATTGTGTAAATGCATTTTTCGAATTCCTTAACAGGTGCATTTTATTTCTTTGAGGAGGTGTAAACCTTCTTCTTTATTTAAATTGTTAAACCTAGATTTATGTTTTTAAAACCCAAATAAAAAGTTTTATGATTCAACTTTAAAATGATGCCATAAATTCTTAATTCTGTTTTTTATGAAAACATGAATTTTTACAGGCTCCGTTTTTCAACTCTTTTGGTATTTTAAAAGACTCATCAATGCCTTACTACTTACTCTTAGAATCTAGTTTAAACAATTTCAAAAGTCAATAAATTTTTTATTTCTTCAAAAGTTTTAAATAAACGTGTAAAAAGTAAGCCATGACTTAAGAAACACTCAGTTTGAATTTTGATTTTAATAAAAGAATTAAAGTTTGCCTTTCGATGCTAAAATTTGACAAAACTAAAATGACAAGTTATAAACCTTATAACAATCCATAGAAAACTTTTCCCAATCAATTTAAAATGTTTAATTCTTCTATTAAAATCAAAATGCAAACTTAGTGTTTCTTAAGTCATGGCTTACTTTTTACAAATTCATTTTAAATTTTAAAAAATTGTATTAAAGTTTGATTCTTTAATCTAGATTCTAAGAGTGAGTAGTAAGGCATTGATGAGTCTTTTAAAATACCAAAAGAGTTGAAAAACGGAGCCTGTAAAAATTCATGTTTTCATAAAAAACAGAATTAAGAATTTATGGCATCATTTTAAAGTTGAATCATAAAACTTTTTATTTGGGTTTTAAAAACATAAATCTAGGTTTAACAATTAAAATAAAAAAGAAGTTTTGCACCTCCATAAAGAAATAAAATGCACCTGTTAAGGAATTCTAAAAATGCATTTACACAATAATAACAAGCACAAAATTTCATTGATAAACAAAAATGGTCCATACATACATGCACGCATAAAGTTCAATTTTATGTAAACATTGTTTGTGATGATTTTGAGAACATTATCAAGTATGTGTTTATTATCATACCTAAAAAAAAAAAAAATATAATAATAACAACATGTTGCTCTAATTTTTTGGTGTATTTAACACCGGCAGTTTTACTAAGAAAAAAAAATGCGAGTGCATTTATAAGAGTCTTATGTATATACGAGAGCATTTTAGCAGTGTATGACTATTATGTGTTCACACGATATGTAGAGATATAATAAAAAAAATTGTTATCCTATTTATACATTGTTACTATAGTATATCCGTGTATTTTACAGTATTTACCGTATTTACATTACCAATAATGTTTTTACATTGAATATATAACTAATATAATGAAAAGAGAAAAAAAGAATGTGAATGTGAAGAGAGAGAGCATGCATGAAGAATTTTTTTTGTGTTTTAATTTTCCGGTGTGAAAATTTTATCTGAGACATGAAACACCCATTAATATCTTAAAACTGTGGCATTTTTAAGGATTTTGAAATCCTTCTAAAACATTTAACCTTTTAATATTGTTTGTTTTGTGTTAAGAAGTAGTAAAGAAAAAGAACTTTGTTAATTCATAATTTCAGTTTAATAGAAAAAAGGTTTTGAAACAAAAACTTCGATCATCAAAATATATTCCTACAAAAAGAGCAAACATAAAAATTTATATGAGGAACTCAAAACAGGAATGAACAAATGATAAATTTCATTGTCAATCAACAAACCACAGCATTAACGATAACGCTTCATATGGATAAAGCTTGAATAGGGCTATAAAACATGTTGGGATATTCATGCATTAATTGGTTTTCTCTAATTAAACGATCTCTAGTTGGGAATGATCTAATTGGATATACTATATGAATATAAATATAAACACACAAACAATTGATTGCTTAGCTCTTGAAATCAGAAGTGAAGATGGATTAAAGCAAAACCGAGAACATTAACAATAAAACAAATAAATAATAAAAAAAAACTTTTTAAAAAACCATGTTTTTACCCGTGGACTAAAAATGAGAAAATAACTTTTTAACGCATTTTTGAAACTTGTTTCTAAAAGATAGCTTAATATCTCACTATGTCTGTTCGTTCGGGCGGAGAAAAACTTTTTAACTAGACATCGTAGAGAGTTCTAGTTTGTTTTATGAGCTCAGGTCAATTGTCGCAAAATAAATAGATAATCGAATACTGATCGCGAACACAAAAATGCGCTTAAGTCCCTCGATCAATAACACGAGGACTCTGTAATTTTTTATTGGGTTCAAAGGATATTGGTTTGAAAATTTGAGATTGATTTGAAAGTTTCATACTAAAGTCATGACCATATATGAATTGCAAATTTGTTCACTTCGACCATATCGTATAGATCTACATCTTAAAACGTGGGCGCATACATTAATATTGAATATTTGGAAAGCTTAAATTTCAACCAGTATCCTTTGAACCCAATAAAAAAGTTATTTTCTACTTTTTAGTCCACGGGTAAAAAAGTGGTTTTTTAAAAAGTTTTTTTTATAAAGTATTTTTTGAAAATAGCCTACTATGATCAACACCAAAAATGCTTTAAATTGCATTTTAAATCATATCTAGGTATTATAAATGATAAAGAATGCTAATTTAGATATAAAATCGATATTTTTTTGAAAAAAGCTTACTATGATCAAAACCAAAACTGCTTTAAATTGCATTTTAAAACATAACTAGGAAATTTAAATGATAAAGAATGCTAATATAATTATAAAATCGATATTTTTTTTTTGAAAAAAGCCTCCTATGATAAAAACCAAAAATGCTTTAAATTGCATTTTAAATCATATCTAGGTATTATAAATGATAAAGAATGCTAATATAGATATAAAATCGATATTTTTTTTTGAAAATAGCCTACAATGATCAAAACCAAAAATGCTTTAAATTGCATTTTAAATCATATCTTGGTATTATAAATGATAAATAATGCTAATATAGATATAAAATAGATATTTTTTTTTGAAAATAGCTTACTATGATCAAAACCAAAACTGCTTTAAATTGCATTTTAAAACATAATTAGGAAATTTAAATGATAAAGAATGCTAATATAGATATAAAATCGATATTTTTTTTTTGAAAATAGCCTACTATGATCAAAACCAAAACTGCTTTAAATTGCATTTTAAAACATAATTAGGAAATTTAAATGAT